CCATACCCTAACTCAATCACTTACCTAACTCTCCTGACCTTAATAATCACCCTCGTTAGTTCATAGGTACTACTAGGTGGCCCGTATTCCCGCGCTAAGCAGACGGTTCTTTAAACACAGTTGTCCACGGGAAACGTTTTAGTTTTTTAGTAGTTCAGTTCAGTTTATTTTAGGGAAATGTAGGTGTGTACCTTTGAAGTCCCTATTTGTTTACATGCAAGTGTGACATATATGTCCGGATGAACGAAAGGTAATCGTCACACAACATTCTAGAGCAAAGGATCAAACTTGTGTAATTGTTCCTTCAGGACGAGTACCTCAGTTTTTTGGCTATGTCAGTTGACATGGGCCAGCAAGGCGGAATATAAGAAAAAGGAGCAGGCGGTGAAAATATATCCTTAAAAAATTTTCCGGAAAATATAACATTTTGAATGGGATTTGTGGATCTATTAGGATGCCGATAAGAGCGCGTAAGGGTTCGACAAGCTCCTTCTCATGGGAGTAATTATGCAGCGGCAGGGGCTAACTTTCTCCATCATATAGCCGTACGACTAGCTAGCAGCCGTCAGGGGGGGCGATACAGGGGACCCTATCTCGGGCATCGTCAGTACGCCCGGGTCGACAGGGAGAGGGGACCGCAGAGATCACGAAGTTCACCACCGAGTTGCTTGGATTATCCTAGCCTGGTTAAATTTCACATCTCCTATTCGATTTCTGAAACCGATTGTTCATACTCGCCCCTCCTATGTATAATGTCCTCCATCTTTTGAGTTTTCGTGGTTTAAGTTTATATCTTTTTCTGTCCTACAGGAACGAGCTAGAGCGCCAATTCCTTGACATGATTCAGTTCAACATCAATGTTCCCAGCTCCATCTACACCAAGTACTACCTAAGCATCCGAACTCTGACTTTGGGAGGCTACGCACTTACCCGGTTATCCGTTGAACGAGCCCAAGAGCTTGAGGTATGTCCGCAGGACTATCTACTTTACACGTGCAATATTTATTTACATGCTACTCAGTACTGATCTTTTAGACAACTTACCACTTCTCCCAGGAGATCCATTCAATCCAAATATAGGAGTTTGTGGGAAAGATACCCTTCAAACCATGCAGTCGAAATAATCTGAATGCTTATGTGCCCATGCTCCCCCGACAAGACAAGGAAACAGGAACCGTTTTTACGCTAAATTGCAGAAAAATTAGGGTTTATTGAGTTAACCTAATTGTAAAAAATTAGCGGCTTCGGTGGGATTCGAACCCACGCAGCAGGGGAGGCTTTTGTGCAGCCAATGCTCTACCACTTGAGCTACAAATGCCACATCTTGCGCCCTGAATTTAATCACTCTTGGTTCGATTTTACCCGCCCAACTTACCGCTCGTATGGAATTAACCATTACAGAACAGCAAACTGACTGTCCAGGCATGATATCTTAAGCCATCATCTAGAATCCACCAGAATGACTATTAGGCTCACTTAAATATTAAGAGGATTTGAAAAATTTGCCGAATTCAGTTGCTGTTCCGCAATGATGGATTCCATACGAGCAGTAAGTTGGGCGGGTAAAATCGATCCAAATGTGATTAAATTTACGGCTCATGGTGAGCCTCGAAGCTCAATGGTAGAGCGTTGGCTGCGCAAAAGCCTCCCCCTGTTGTGTGGATTCGACTTCCACTGAGGCCGCGAATTTTTCACAATTGGGTCAACTGAATTAAGCATATCTGCCAAACCTCCCTAACAATTAGGGTTAGGGTTATCGGTGGTGTTATGCTTAGGGTTTGGTTTAGGACACGGGAATCTTTTCCCATCCTGGAATTTCGCACAAGTCTACCTGTGTTGCGACTGACTGTGCCTGTTCTGGGCGGCGTACAAGCGATTCCGACTGGAACTCGCTGTCACATCCATCTACCTTCCTAGATAGGTGTCGTAGGTTAGTTAAAATGCATAAATTCGCGAAACGTTTCTGATAAAATGAAAGCTCGAACGCGGAGTAAACGAACTTTACTAAAGGAGACTAACAAGGGGAAAGCTAAAGTTTCTACAAAACTTTTTTAAAGAAAGGAGAAAGCACCGAATACGGGAATAAAGGTTTTCAGAAGGAGGAGATGCGACCACTGTAACAAGGGTTTTATTGTTCTGACGTTTCGGATTCCGCCGAGAATCCTTAATCATAGGTAATGGTACAATAGTCTGAGTCATGCGCATGACTAAGAATAAAGGTTTTCAAAAGGTCAGATATCGGCAGACCAGACAGATACTACAAAACTGGCATATAATTGGCAGATGCCATCGTAAGTTTGTCATTTTCTGTGTATAAGATGAAATCTTCTTTACCGTACAATTACCACATGCTTTCCATTGACGATCAAGTCCGCTAAGTCTCGATGTGTTCGTAAAATGTCAGTGATTCCTTTAAGTTTTCCTTTTTTCTCAATCGATCGCCTCAAATAACTGTATCTTTGTTGTGTCATTATTAAAGCATCTCAAATAAGCTTTTATATCTTTACTTATTAGAAACGCGCTTTCCGAAGATGGCGCTTTGGGCTGTCTTCGTAAGCTCATTCAAGATTAGAGTCTAATCCCTAAAGAAAGCGCACGTCTTGAACAAAGGCCCGCGCTGACTGTGCTCTTCAGCAAAATAAATAATAATTCTTTATAAATTGTCTGCTTAAAAAATGTTTAACGTTTGTATTTTACCGATGAATGCACGCGGCCTTTCTCTATTTTAACAGAAAGTCCTTACCCTACTTGTAGGGTACGCTGCATTGTCATCAGTACACAGTCCAGTGTTTACATACGTACAAGAAATAATTATACAGTGGCTAACGATGTGCATATTACTTTTCGAAGTAACATATTAGTAGAAACTGAGTTGCGTAAAAAGGCATCTTGCGACCTGCTCAAAGCCTGAAGTGACCGCTTTATGGTGGGCCTTTTCGCGGCTTTTTATGGAATATGCGCGAATGACAATGGCCTGGAGATGCTGCAATGTCACTTATTGGTACCC